ATTATATTTTTTTAAAATATGTTTTTTATTACATCAGTATTTTTCAAATGTTTTTCATAAAAAAGATTGAGTCCTCCAGTTGGACTGTATCCCTAGAAAGATGTATATATACGCATATCGGCCATGGTAAATTCATCTTTTTTAGGGCGTATTTTGCCATGACAGTTTTTTGCCATGACACTATTTGTCCCATGACATATGTAGTCATGACAAGTTTATCATGCCACAGCCTATTTATCTTTCCATTTGAGGGTGAATTTTTTTAAAATTGTAAGGCATACTGTATCACTCTACATTTGATGTTACAGTTAACACCCGGAGGCCTGAGAGATTTTGATGGCAGTGAAACCCCAGGCGTGTTTTGGGGTCGTGGGTGAGGGGCTCGAACAAGCTGAGATGTTGGTTGGTCACCGTCCACGCAGGATTCGAAAAGGGCTGCAGATTACTGGGGAATAAAGGGTTTAAAGGTATTTAAAAATTATGACAAGGAAAATTAACAAAATCTTTATTCCCACATGTACCGGTATAGAGTAGGGGGGTGCATAAAAACATATATAATCTTCCTTTCCCCACCCACCCCCTGTGTCCTTTCCCATTGTAACAAGGACCGGGAAACCATATCGTATTTGCAGGTTTTTGCTCTCCGTTTTTGTATAGGGAAAAACATTTTTTAAAATGTTTATCCATAGGCTAGATGAAAAAATTAATGAATGCAAAAAAAGTCTTTTAAGGGCTTTTAACCCTGTACGCCATCAGTCGGGATTACTTTAATCCCGGTGTGTATACCTTCCTGATCCCGGGTTCAGTTATTGGAATACCTGGAGGGTGAGGGGTTTTCACTACAAAAAGCAAAAGATTGGCGGGAAAAAATGAAAACTCCCCCCAATGAAAAGCGGGGTGTCACTAGCCGTTAAGAGCCCATAAAATAAGTGTAGGGGCCCCGAGACTTTTAAATACCCCCCAGATACAAAAGGGGGGATTCCCAACAGCCCCCTGGCAGTCTTCAAGCTGGCATGGACAAGCACCTAAAGTGGGTTTCCCTGACCAGGCCGGGCTGGGCTGTACGTTGGTTTGCGGCAGCAAACAGTAACACCCTTTTGATCAGGCTCTGATCCACCGGAGCCTGGCACAGCCCGGGGCCCCGGGGGGGTTTGGCCCCCGGGAAAACTTTCCAGGTAAACTCGGGGCCCCCGGGGGCTGCCCATAACCGACCTCGCGGTGGATCGGGCCAGATCAACCCAATTAATTTTTTTTTCATTGGCGTTTTCTAGAAGCACAAAACCCCTTAGAATATACAGCGTCTGTGAAGTAGATTCAGTGGGGTTTTAAACCCCGGGAAAGGTAGGTACATTTGTCAAGACAGACATTTAAAATTTGTGAGCAGCTTTAAATACTTTCATGACTTCAACCCAAGTCGCGCAAAATACCCCCGAAATCCCACCGTAGGTTGCTGTCATCAGTCGTCGAATGTAGATAGTATATGCTGTAGTAGTTTTTTTAAAAATCCCGTTTTCATATTTCTGTGTGTTGGATGGTATTGAAGTTTTTTTTTGGGTAAAAAAAAAATCCCGTTAGATATTTTTTTAAGTTTGTTTTAAATTTTTGGTAGTTTTTAATATCAAATATGTAACAAGGTGTGTTCAAATTACTGTGAATGGTTGGCAGCACTCAAATGTCCAAGTGAGGTTTTGACTTATGTAAAAATAAATTTGGTTGGTTTGTGTTGAGGTCACTTTTACGTATGATGAGGTAGAAATTTTGGTCATTTGTACAGTGGGTGGATTTTTTGAAATTCAGTTAATGCAAAATACAAGATTGAAAAATTTGTTATGTGGAAAATTGCATTTATTGAAGAATTTTTTAGTACATAAAAGTAAAAGTAACAAAGATAATTTTATTTAGAGGACATAGACAAATAGGAAATTTTGGGGAACCAGGGGGCGCAAAAAAAAGTCCCCCTTCGATACCCACCCCTGTCATAAAAACGGTTGCTCTGGGCCTTTAATTAAAAGAAAATATACTTACACCGGGAATACTGATAAATATAAAATTTTTGGGACTGTATATTAAAAATAATAAATGGTTTATATTACACAATTACAAACAGAAGGAAAATATATCTTATATCACCAATTTTACTGGAGATTAATGTGTATCTACTCAGAAAAACCTCACTCTAACTAAATCTATGAAAATAATGATGGCCCGAATTACACACAAAACTAGAGAGCTTTCTGAGGTTCCCGGGAGGTCTTGTCCAATGCTTATTTAAGTTTTGCAGGAAAGCACATCCACAATTTGCCCCCCATTTTGGGGGTGTCAACAAATTTTAACCCCTAGAGACGAAAAAAAATTTTCCCTTCACCCAAAATTTGTACAAAATTCAAAACCAAGATGGGGTTCCCTCTGCGAGGGCGCAGGCTTCCGTTTTTTGACATAAATATTATTAAAAGTATGGCCATCTATTTACATTAAATATGAAATTTTTTGGGAAAAAATATACAGTATTTTCCCATGCGGCCCCGGGCCCGAGTTTTGTTTCTAAACGATTCAAATTATTCCTTCCTTTTTGGAGATGATTCCCGCCAGTTCTGGCTTGGTGGGTGTTTCCTAATAGGCTTACTACGATTTCATCTTCCCGGGATCACTTGGTCTGCGTTATCTTTCCCTTCACTCATGTCGCTTTCCCTCAGTTTTCATTTACGTTTTATTGAACACCTAATTCCCGGAATCAAATTATTAAATTTTGTGTAAAATTTCCGGCCACGACACAACACTTTGCATTTTCCCGACAAACCTTGGATCTGGGGACAATGTCAAAACTTTGCCCCGGGCCCCCAAAGTTTGATGTTTTTCGTGTCAATTAACCAATGTCCCTGGTTTTTAATGGTCGTCGATTTAGTGTCTCTGTCGCACCATAAAAGTGTTCACGTAGTGTAAAAAGATATTCCTTATGCCCACATTGACCAAAGCAATTTATTTAAAATTTTAAATTTTTACAAACATGCCCCTCATTGTAATCTCATCACTTTTTCCCGGGTTATCTCTATAAAAAGGGGGAGCTTCCAATTTCCTCCAATATTTGGTGAGAAGGTGTTTAAAACATTGACAGGTGTATCCTTGTATGAGGAGGCCCCTTTTTTTTATCGTTTTCTGCCTCCACTAAACTGCAGGAATTCTTCCAAAATTTAAATTTTCTTCCGGTGTAGTACTTTGGGAGACACCCCTTCCTGTGCCTATCAGTCTTTTGTACGCCCCCCTGCCAAAGGGGGTCTAGAAGTAATAAATTTCCAGTCACCCTCGCTGGATTAACAGAGATTGAAAATCGTCTATTATTTAATTTATAGTGTTGAGCACCTGCTAAAAAATTGTGGATCCGAATCACAACGTTTTGCAGACAAGTCCCGTGCCCCTTCTAAATGAACGCCTAGTAGGTACAAGTGAACAAAAAAAAAATACACTTTCAGTGGAGCCCAAATTTTAAGTACCTGTTAAAATTAGGAATATGTTACACCTGTTACATCAAAAGGTTTCACTAGAATTGAGGAGTTTGTGGGAAGACAGAATCTTGTCATGATGCTAAAACGGGAATGTACCAGAGGATAGTGATGCCACCACTTTTCTATGGGTGTGAGACATGGTAATTTGAGTATTTTTCAGGCAAGAAGGAGAGTGAAAAGCAGTGTAAATGTCACGTGTAAGATCAGTGCACAGTGTGAATACTATACAAAGGAAGGGTTTCGAGGTGTTTTGGTGATTAAAAAAGGCTGTAGACATGCAGGTTAATTAAGAGATGTACAACTCTAAGTTTGGTGCAAGTAGTGAAAGAACGTGCCCAGGCAAGATTAGTGAAGATTTTGAAAGCTTGAAGTAACCAATTGTCTAATACGTAATTATTCCCGGTGTACAGATACACTGCATACAGCTCAACACTAATATATTGTGTGTCTGGCACAAGAATGAAACGCGCTATATATAAAGAAGAAAACTGGAGGAGGACAGCAAGTCGTGTGTGCCACTGATGGCTCTACCACCACTGGCTGGACCAGAGACCATGTCCTCAAGCTCCTCCACCTACTCTCCGAGGGTTTTGTATTCCTCTCTAATAATTATCTTGTTAGCATTTATCCGATGTTTATGACCAGATACAATCAACCTACACACGTATTCCTGTATTGTCCTATGTATTTTGTTCTATTCTTTGCAATATAACTTCAACAGATACTTAATAATTTCAGGAACACACGGGGCCTAGGTTTGCCAGTTAACATTACTGAAATGTTTCACTTAACATGATTACAATCGAAAACTAATAATTAGCTTAAATGTTCCATTAACCTTTGCTGATCTTTAATAACTGACTATTTATTCTGTTAAACATAATTAGATGAGATGCCCCCAGTCAATTAAAATTGATTTCCAGTTTAATACTTAATAGTAGTGTGCTAGTCAACACTTAATGGTGCTCACAGCTTTTTTCCTAGTTTTCTCATTCAGTGCATAAATACAGAGGCTGCTTTTTAGCCAATATTTGATTCCTCAGTTGCCTCTTTCAATATTTAAAAATAAGCTTGACCAAAGCAAAATAATTCAGCTTACTGTACCTGAACTAGGGTAAAAAATAGAGCCACAGTTAGCAGGCGAGGCACCTCCACCTCAACAAAAACCCTTTTCATCATGGAGTAACAATACAGGTTTAGCTTCACAAATGCAAAACAAATAATCAAATTCGCATTTCATATCAGGAAAGGTATGAGTGGCAAGATGGTAAAATGTCTGGTGGAAACATTGTTCTGAGACAATGCTGCTACAACAGCTTGATGGGCATATGTTTTGGCCTGTTTGCCCTTCAGCAATCCTCGTCCACGTCCGACGTGTTTTTTTTTGCCCGGTGGTTATGAAGATGGAGGCAGAGATTGTGAGGATGACCATTTCCCTATTCCATGTAATACTGACAACCATTGTGGACTGTGAGTTGCCAGATTCAGGATCCTTGTTATATGGTAGGAGTTGCCAAGATTCATGGGCCGCCTTGTGGCATTGGCAATATTCAAGGGTTCTTGAGAGATTTGCCAAGATTAATGGTTTTTTTGAGTAAGTTTCCAAGATTTCTCTGATCCTTGAAGTTGCCAAGACTCATGGTCCTTGGTGAGTTGCCAAGATTCTGGTCCTTTGATTAAGTTGCCAGGATTCATGAGTCCTTGTGAGAGTTGGCTAAGATTTCAGGGCTTTGTTTAATGTGACAAGTTTGCAAAGATTCAGGTCTTTGTTTATGTGTAAGTTTGCCAACATGTATGAGATAGTCCTAACAGTGACCAACCAGGAAGGTACTTCTGTCCATAATCAGATGAGATGAAATGGAAAATTTTAAATGTGTATTGCACCACTGTGAAAATTGCCTGAATCTAATATGGAACACTCAGACTGAGATGCAAAATCTTTACCAAACTTATCGTATTTATATGTAGTATGCGCATTCTATTTACTTTCTCCTGTTACCGTTTTATTATCATTGGAGCGCGAAATCCGTATGGGAATTATAACAGCCCTTTTGTGGGTGGGGGGTGCGGAAGGCATTCGGGTTTAAAAATTCAGGGAAATTGGAGCGCAGATCCAATTTCTTAGGATCAAGAGTCCTCAGGCAGCATTCAAGGAACCTCCCTTGAGGGGGGCTTTCACCCCATGTTCCTTATTGTTTGTATGATTTGCCAGGATCCATGTTCCTTTGCTGTGTTTTCTGGCCGAAAATTACATGGTTCTTGTAATGTACGTATGGAGTTCCATTATTAGCAGTTGCCAGGATCCTTGTTTATATATACTACATAGGATTTCGAAATATTTTGTATACAAAAAATTTTTTTCAATTCCGAGGCTTTGGTTTGTATCAACAATAAAATTACAATTATTATATTTTATTAACAATAATAGAATTAATTAACGTAACAGCATATTTTTCAAAAGCATTATCATAAAATGATAGCCAGGCCCTACCAGTTGGACTTTATGAGTTACCTAGTTAAGATAGTAAATATTACTGCATGATGCTGGCCATGGTAACATTCCTCATATTATGGCAGTAGATATGGCCATGACAGTTTTAATATGTCCATGACACTATTTGTGCCATGACAATATGTAAGTCATGGACAATGTTTATTCATGCCAACAGCAAGTATTTATCTTTTTCCCGTATATGAGGGTGACAGATTATACTATTGTAAGGTCATACTGAACTCCATCTCCTACATTTGTAATGTTACAGTAAACATCCGGAGGCTCTGAGACGCAACTTTTCTTGAATGGCAAATGTTGAAAGGCGCAGCGTGATATATGGGTCGTGGGTGAGGGGCCATCGAACAAGCTGAGATAAGTTGGATGTGTGTCACCGTCCCACCGGCAGGTAATTCCGCCAAGGGCTGCAGACTTACTAGGAAAGAAGCTTCGCAAGGTACTTAAAATATACAAGGAAACATAAACTTAATCAATAATTCTCCCTACAACTGTGTACACTTGTCATAGGAGTAGTGGTGGTAGCATAGAACATATGATAATCTTCTTTGCCTCTTAACCCACAATATTTAAACAAACCCATTATTATGACGCAGTTGCTACCTGAGGCTCATTACCTTAGTAAATTCGTCCATGATTAATGTTGTTTATGATTCACTACCTTTGCAATTAAACGATGATTTGTGACCACACACCCCTGGATCAACAATACCTTGCACTTGTGAGCATGATTAAGACGCAGAAGACTAGTTCATTAACCATTTGTAACATTGTCTCATCTATCAAAACTTGTGAGTCCATTCCCCTGGAACCAATTATTTACCTCTGTAAACTTTTTGCCTAAACCGGCGTGCCCACAGGCAGATGTGTTGTATGGGTTCATAAAAAAACACAATAAAATTAAACAAACTTACCAACCCCCCCCACGCCACCCCTGTGCCCTATCCATTGTATAGACAAAGGGACCATGAACCATATCGTATTTTGCAATGTTCTTACTTTACTGGCTCTTCCGTTTCATGTATAATGAACATATTTTTAGCTGTTTGATTATCTGTCCATGGAGCCTATATTAAAAAATAAATGAATGCAAGAAAAGTCATTAAAAGGCTTGCATTTTTAAACCCTGTACGCCATCAGACAGGATTAACTTAATCCCGGTGATGTATACCATTGAAAGCAGCCAGATACCGGTATCAGTATAACTTGGAATATACCTGTAGGGTGTTAAGGAGTTCGACTGACACTACGCAAGCAAAAAGTACTTGGCAAAACGATGCACCATCCCCCCAATGAAATCAGGGGTGTCGATAGCACGTTAAAGACCATAAGGACAATAAGTGTCGAGGGGCCCGAGCCTGTTCAACTGCCTCCAGAGCATACATAAGGTGGATTACCAACAGACCCCTGGCAGTTCTTCAAAGAACTGGCACTGGACAAGCACCTAAATCGGTTCCTGGACCTCCGGGCCTGTGGCCTCGTACGTTGGTTTGGTGCGTGTGACAGGCCAACAGTTAGACAGCCTTTTGATCATGCTCTGAATCCACCAGGAAGGCCTGGTCACAGACCGGGCCGCGGGGGCGTTGATTTCCCCGGAAACCTCTCTCCATGTATAAACTCCAGGCCCCCCCCGCTGCCTAGTCCCATAACCAGACCTCGCGAGGATCAGGGCTCGATATCAACCAATATTTTTATTTTCAATGCGATTCTAGAAGCACTTAAACCCTTAGAGATCAGACAAGCTTCTGTGAAGTAGATTTAGTCGGATTTTAATATCCTATTCCCCCAGGAAGGGAAGGTACACATATAGTCAATGAGACAGACATTATATACAGTGAAGACCGCTCTTAAATACTTACATGACAATCACCCCCAGTCTCGCAAAATACCCACTCCCCAACTCACAACTAGGTTGCTGCTCATCGAGTCGTCAGTAATGTAGAGTTAATTATAGTCTGTAGTAGATTTTTTAAAATTGCCGTTTTTCCCATATTGTCCTCTGGAGTGTTGGAATGGAATTGAAGGTTTTTTTTTGTGATTGGTACAAAAAAATGCCGTATAGATATTATATTTTAATGTATTTATAAATTTTGGTAGTATTTAAATCTCTAATATGTAACAAGGTGCTTATATCAGTAATTACTAGTGTAAGGGTAGGCAGCATCTGCAAAAAATGGCCAACGTGTAGTTTAGCACTTTAAGTATAAAAATATAAATTAGGTTGGTTAGTGTTAGAGTTTCACTGTGTACAAGTACTTGAAGTGTAGAAATTTAGGTCAAATTTGTCCAGAAGAAGTAGGAATTTTTAATTTATTGAATTTCAGTTAATGCAAACAACACCGATAGTGCACCCTAACTGAAAATGATTGCCACCAGCCAAAACTTCCATCCCACAAACATATCCCACACCTACACTTCACCCACCGCACAAACAACAAACACCTCTAACCCACTCCCCTGACTGCAATAATTTCCACCCAGTTCGCAAAAAAAATTCCCCCTCCAACGGATACCTACCACTGTCATAACCACGATAGCTCTGGACCTATTAATAAAATGAAATCTAACTACACCATGATAAACTGATAAATATATAATTTGTGTACTGAATAATAAAATAATAAATGTATAAAAAATTTTTATTTTATATATCACACAGGCCGATTCCCACCAAGTCAGGGTGGCCCCGAAAAAGAAAAACTATCCACTCAACGCAATCACTCCATCAACCATTCTTTCCAGAAGGGGTTCTTTACCACTACAGTTTTTTAAAAACCTGCAACATTAACCACCCCCTCCTTCAAGAGTGCAGGCACTGGGGATATTATATAAATACACAATTACATAACAGTAATGAAAATAACTTCTTAATATCACTCACCAATTTGACTGGTAGATTAATGTGTATCATACCAGAAAAACCTCACTATAACTAAATCTATTGAAAAATAATGATGGCCAAATTACACACAAAACTAGAGAGCTTCTCTGAGGTTCCTGGAGAGATCTTGCTTGGTCCAGTCACCTGATATCTCAAGTTATGGCAGGAATGCATATCCAACTACCAATTTTTTCGCCTCCTAATTGAGAGGGTGTCACACAATTTAACCTCCAGGAGCACGAAAAATTCTTCCCATTACAAACCAACGTGTTTTGTACAAAATTAATTCAAAACCAAGATGGCGAGTCCCGTCTGTGCAGACGCAAGTGCTTTTTCCGTATTCCTCTATGACATAAATATAATTAAATACAGTATTGGGCCAACAATTTAACATATAAATACTGAATATTCTTTCTTTTACTTTCTACTGGAAAATATATACAGTATTTTCCACACTGCCATGCGGGCCGCCCAGAAGTTTAGTTGCTAAACGATTCAAATTATTCCTTCCTTTAATGAGACGATCCATCCAGTTTCGGCTTGAGGTGGCTGTTCTCCTAATAGGTCTACTCAAACTACGATATCATCTTCCGCATCACTTGGTTCTTCGTTATGCCACTTCCAAATCACTCGATACCCTTTCCCTCAGATTTTTTTCATTTACGTATGATTGAACAACCTACTTTCCAAAGGATATCATTTAAATTAATTTAGTGTAAAAACCTTTTCCTTGGCCACGACTACACCACTTTGACATTCCTGACAACACCTTGTGCATCTGGGTACCATGTCAATACTTTGCCCAGAGGGCCACAATGTTAGATGTTTTTCAGTGTCAAATAACACAATGTCACCTGGTTGAATATGTCCTGTCGATTTAGTGCCTCATTCACACCATAAAAGTGTTCATGTAGTGTAAGAAGGATATTCCTTAAGCCCACATTAGACCAATGAATCAATATATTTTAACAACATTTTAAATTTTATTACTCAACACTACTCAGCCGCAATCAATAGTAATCTTCATCACTTTCTCTACCGGATTATCATCTATGAGACAGGGGCAACTTTTTCCAATATTCCTTCCCCATCATAGTTAGGTGAGAAGTTGTTAATACATCTACATCAGGTGTACACTCATGTATGAGAGAGGCCTATAATTTATAACGATATCTTTCTTTCCTCTGCTCCACTAACACTGCTCCACAAACGTAATTCCTTTCCAAATTAATACTTCTTCCGGTGTAGTACTTGCGTAACCACACCTTCTTCACTGTGCCATCAGTCTTTTGTATCAGACCCCCCCCCTGCCCAAGGGGCTCTATTAAGTAATAAAATTTCCATGTACAAAAACAAAACCGCTCGCCTGTTTTAACAGAGATCGGAACATCGTTACTAAATATATAAATTTTTCTATCAATTGTTGAGGTCACCCTGCTACAAAATTTGTGTCTATTCCGAAATCATCAACCTTGGACAGGATCTCCTAGCTGCAAATTTTAGAAACAGCTGAATAAAACAGTCTGCAGGACAAGTCCCTGTCCATTCTTTCTAAATGAACAGCCCTAGTAAGCAGTACAGTTGAACAAAGTCAAACATACAACATTCAGTGGAAAACACCATCTAGAAGTACCTGTTAACAATTATTGGACCACTATAGTACACACCTGTTACAATCAAATGGTTTGCACACATATTGTACAGACGCTCCTTAGGGTGCAATGGTTGAGGACCTGTTACATAAAGGAACTGTCATCCACACGGCGACATATAACACAGAGAAATTAATCACCACCCTTTTATAACAACTTTGGCCGTCCTTTGGAATCCATAAAGTTTTCCCTAATAACAATTTAAGGTATCTTGTACCCCACCATGCATTGACATTTTTAATGGGCATTATATAGAACAATCAAATTTGTATTATATTAATGAGTTTTTTGGGCAGATAAGATAGGGTGTTTAGAGCATAATCCACCCCAATTCACAGCAGCATTTTGTAATCCAACCCCCACTGCAACCCAAATACATTGTTCTCTAATACAAGCCCCCCAAAATTCCTTATTATGGAACCTTTCTCCACAATTTTGTTCTTTCCAAACACATCAATTTAAAACTCATTTCCATAGATTTCCTCCTGTACCCCTCTTTATATTCCAATACCCTCAACTCTTCTGTAGCCCCCCAACATAAAAGCACAATACAACAAGTGTAAAATAATAAAATCGACCAACAACAACCACCAACTTAAACAAAGCACAGTAATTGTACCATGACTCCACCCACAAAATACCCATGCAACCTCCGTCTCCCCCACAATTCGCGTTATTGACACCGAAAAAACACCGGCGTCCATCCAGCCAATAATTATCCCTGGCCCCCAAACGCAAACCCAAAACCCCCCCCCCCTTGCACGGTCCATTACACCCAATATTACAGCATAAACCAAATACTGCATAAGAAAACCTCGAGACAAGAAATCAGCTGGATATCCCTCCTCCCCCCAGGTATATGAATAATGTTAACATTGCTGACCCAAACAATATATACTTCACCTT